CACACTCATCAACACACATCACATAATTACTGAACCAAATAACATCAACCAAACACATCTGGCCTGTGGAACCATTTTAGCTGGCTATCATAAGTTGGCGGCATGGCCAGTAGGCATAATTTGCAACAGAATTCATGGTCCCCAGACCCTGAAAGACATAGCCATAGGCTACAGGGAGTAGGCAAGAACTGTGTAGATACAGCCCCTGGACCCATTCCATCACTTGAACCTGTGCTTCTGACCCTAGACCTGTACCCACTGCAGCTGCTGCTTGATCTGTGGATCCAGCTGTGGATGAGCTCTTGCCCAGGGAAGAGAGTCTGACACCCCTATTCTACAGTAACACAAATTGCACTGGAACAAAATAGTAACTTCAGGCCAACTATGGAGTCTGGTTGTGGTTCTGAGACACACACACACACAAAGCTGAAGCTCCAAGGTCACTCTTGGTAAAATGATTAGTGGCTAGCATACCTTGTAGGGGAGAGGTGCCATGAAGCCAGAAGCTTCTCTATTGGTTGCCTCAAGTAGTTTGCTACTTATCTAATACATTCTGGGGAGCAGCTTATTGTAGAAAATCTAAAATCCTCCTAGTCATTCCTTCTTCAGACTAATTCCTGATATACAGCACAGAGAACAGGTTCATCCAGTTTTTCCAAAGAGGGATGGGCAGAAGTCTGTTTTCATGGTGCACATTTTGGTGGATTGAAGAGAATCAGAAGCCAGAACTCTTCAGTGCCAACTGATTTGAACTCAGAAGTACAGCTCGTACAAGCTGCAACTTCTTAGTGCCTCTGCTTTCCTGCTTCTCAGACAAGAATAATTCTTCTTTCCCTCTGATGCTTGTTGCAAGGAAGAACTGACTGAAGTTTGTAAAATGTTAGTTAACTGCTAAGTAAAGACAGTCCCATATTAAAACCATAGAACTTAACATTTCTTAGTTTTGCAGCAGTGGTGCTCAACCTTACAGCCCCACAGGCTGGATGAGTAGTATGGGGCCAGTTTATGGGCCACATCCAGCATGGGGTTGGTGTATGGGGTCAGTTTGCAGGTGCAACCCTGTGTGTTGGATGCAGCTGTGGCATGCTGAATTCAGTTAGAATGGCCCCATGCATGGGGATGTCATTCAACCCACAGGGCTCTCTACAAGTCTGGAAATTTGGCATTGGGTGAGAAAAGGCAGCATTAAGTATAATGAATATAAAAATTATGGCAGTTAATAATGCTACCCATCCCCTGCCACCAAGTTTCTGGATACATGGGGAACCCCACAAGCTGGATGACAGCTTTGTGGGCTGTACTAGGCCCACAGGCTAGATGTTGAGCCCTAGTTTTCAGTCAACTAACCAGCCAGATCTAATATCACCTTTCCACTAGACTCAAACCATGAGTCTTACGCCAAAAGATATGCTAATATGTAACGCAGATCCTGAACCAAACATTTGGAAGTGACAATTCCATTTCCCTACCTGCAAATTTCTGAGATTAATCCTCGATGTTAATTCACATTTTAAACTTTATCTTTGAGGTAACCAAAATCCTTGGTTTTGTGCTTTTGGAAGGGAGTGTTCAGTAGTAGGCAGATGCACCACTGTTTAGTATACATAGGGCTGAAAAAATGGTCTGAAGTTGTTTAACAGTACAGGCACACCCTTGGTTTGCTCCTATCCAAAGGATAAGTGATGTTGCCATTTCTTGTCATTTTAAACAAATGACAAGTTCTGTACTCTTCGTGGTTTTCTTCAAGCTCCAAAAGGCATGACTGGGGAAGAGTTGCAATTTTTTTTAAGTTTCCATCCCACTATGATTTCAAGAAAAACTTGTGGAAAAAAAGAAAGAGTGGGACCCCAAAGCATCCTAAAGGCAAATGAAAAAGCATCTCCAAGTTAGCTTAAAAATCAATGAGAATATTTTAAGAGTAAGTAGCTGGCAACTGTGCTATTGCTGTCTCTGGGTCAAAAAGGATCAGGGGACAGGGGCAGGGTAGGAAGGAAGAGTAAGGAAGGCACCTGCTGCAGGCATCTTTAGTTCTTCATCACACAGTCCTGTTCAGGGACAAGACACCTGTGTCATTTGCCTCCAAACTCCCACGGTTGCCTCTTAATATGGAGAGGGCTGAGGGCCTGCTAGTGAGGAAAACAGCCAGTATGAGAACAGCAAGTGCCAGTTGCAGGCAAGGCCCTCTGAGTAATTGAACTCTTCCTTTTGAAAGCAAGAGTACATGCTGGCACATGCTCCAGGAGGGATATTGCTTTGTTTGGTGGCTTTGAAGAGGAGGGAGAGGCTAGTTAAGTGTGTTTACATTTGAGAGGAACAAAGAACAGCAGAGAAGCCCGACTACCTGCACCAGAGATCGCACATTCCTCATAGGCCAGAGTGCAGTGGGACCACCAGCGAGGAAGGAAGCAGCATGAATTAAGAGGAGCACTTTGAAAGCAGAAAGAGAGGAGGGGTGGAAAAAAAAACCCACTGGGGACCAAAAAGGGAGTCTCCAATATGGTACTAAACATGGTATAGACGCAGTGTTGAACTTGGAATGCGGGTGGGGGAGAGACGAGCAGGTGCCTTGGCAACACTGTTCCTCTGCTTTCAACCGCAGCTCAGCAAGTCATGTTTTCTTCGTTGAAAAGCCACAAACCCCAAAATGGAACAGTTTAAGAGTGAAGATTAAGACATGAGGCTTCTAACCTAAACCTTAAAAAGTTTCCATACAGCTATTCTCTGACCTTTTAAAGCTCTAGAGACAAGTGCCATTCTTGCACTGGTACAACATCTAGAAGCAGTACAAAAGCCCAACATATTTTTCTTTTAAGTGATTTACCGCTACAATAGAGAATGTCAGAAACAGAACCTGTACAAGTTTACTGGGTGCACCATGAGTAGATAACACTGCTGTTTATGCTAGAATCAAATTCCAGGCCTTTTGTATATAACAGCAGGCATATCTGTAGTAACAGGTGCTGGTGAAGAGAGGAAAATTTTGTTGAATCAAAGTTACAGATATCTCCTGAAACCCTTAAAAAAACCTCCCAAGGTATCCCTCCATTCCAAAAAGCCCAGAATTTCAGTGGGGTTATTCCTTAAGTCATTCTTGTTTAGCTTTGCTTATATCAACCCCCCATTTGTATAGCCAGTTGTTGGCTCTCAGTAAAGGAGAAAGTTTTATATATAAACACTAATTTTACTGCATTGGCTGCTGGCAGACATTATATGTAGATGTGCTATGCAATTCCCATAGACCAGTCCCGTTAGGAACTGCATGCTCCATGACAGCATAAAAATTAATGAATGAGGTTAGGCAGGAAATAAAGTTACGTGTCCAAAGACAGGCACTATAAGCTGACAAAGAATTATGTTTACCCCAGCCACATGTTAGCAGTCTGCCAGAAGTTCACATTACCACAAAGGGATGGAAAGCAGCAACTAATGCTGCAAGTCAAAATCTGTCTTTGGAATGCGCGCTCAAGTCCAACGAGATTTATTCCGAACTCAGTCATGCTGGAATTGGGAAACAATGGAAGGAAGCCAGTGCAAATATCAGAAGCACAGGACTACAGAAAAGTGAGAGTTGGAAGGGACCTCAGGAGGTGATCTAGTCCAACCTCCTGCTCAAAGCATGACCATCCCCAGTCTCCAAGGATGAAGATTCCACCACTTCTCTAGGTCACCTGTTCCAGTGTTTTACTATCCTCCTCAGAGCTGTCCCCAGCAGTGTGTGGGGCCTGAGGCACATCAGCTTTGATGTAAAACTTGAGACTGTTGCTCCTTGTCCTGTCATCTGCCACCACTGAGAACTGTCTAGCTCTATCCTTTACCTTTCAGGTAGCTGAAGGCTGCTATTAAATCCCACCCCAGTCTTCTCTTCTCCAGATTAAATAAGCCCAGTTCCCTCAGTTTCTCCTCAGAAGCCACGTGCCTTAGCCCACTAACCACTTCCATTGCCCTCCGCTGGACTCTGTCCAGTTTGTCCACTACCTTTCTCTAGTGGGGGGCCAAAACTGGACACTGTACTGAAAAGGGGAATAATCTTTGATCCACTAGCAATGATCCCACTAATATGCTATTAGCCTTCTTTGCAACAATGGCTCATTTGACTTGTGTTCAGCTTACTGTCCACTATAACCCCCAGGTCCTTTTCTGCAGAGCTGCTGCTTAGCCAGTCAGGCCCCAGCCTGTATTGGTGCATGGGACTGTTCCATCCTAAGTGCAGGACTTTGCACTTGTCCTTATTGAACCTCATGAGATTTCTTTTGGCTCAATCCTCCAATTTGTCTAGGGCTATCTGAATTAGGCCCAGTGGAAAACATTTAGTGCAATTGTAAGGGTGAATTATCTCTGAACCTGTCAAAAATGAAAGAAGTTTTTCATTTTGAACTTTTAAGACTGGGGGGGGGGGGGCAAACTAGTCCCCCAATGCTAATGTTAGGTCACAGAAAAAGAACCAAAATTCCATTCAGTTATAGGCTTCAAATAAAAGTTGTTCCTTGAATTAACAACATTTTCACATTGGGCAAGCCCAGGCTGTACTGCTAGGGAGATTCTGCACCTCTTTATGGTCATTCTTGTTAGGGTTACACTTTGGCACCTGTTCAAAAATTTAAAACCTTTTGGTCCAAGCACCCTCTAGTGTCTACAGTTTAGATTTACAAATAAGCTTCACTCAAGGGTGAAGAGTGGTGGACAAGAATTTAGTCAAAGACATTAAGCTCTAGTGTATAAAGTTATTTAAACTATTACTAATCTGAATGGGGGAAAAAAAAAACCCAACCAAACAAAAACAAAACAGAGCCCCCAGAGTGCCAAGGAAACAAGAAGTTGCACAAGTCAGACATGCAAAACAGATTAGCACAACTATAACCTGAAATCTTTTATCAGTTTCTAGACTGGCATTAGCACTTCCATTTTTTTTTTTTTAAATTTTTTTTTGGGGGAGGGGGAAGAGAAGAAGAGGAAAAAGGAAAAGAAATTGGGTGTTTCAGTAACATAGTGAACATATGACAGTCACCATCTTCCCATTTTATTTGTAAATTCCCCAGACACTCACCAGTCTTGGTGACCTGCCCTTCAACTCCCATAATTACTAAACATAAATGAAAACAAATTGGCTAATTGGTCAGTCTGAAATTATATTACTGATATTCAGCCCTGAACCTGCATTTGGATCTGCAGGTCAAGGAGGACAGAAGGCTGACCTAGCACATCCACCTCCTACAGAGGTGGGCCTCTGAGGCTTATGCCAAGTACACCTGTTAGTGAAGTCATAACATCCATGGGTAATATAAAACCTAACATACCCAACACTAGTATTTCCATGAAACTTATGCAACACCTGCCAACATCAAGTCAGTATACATGGGCTAAAGTTTTAGCTGGAAAACAAAGGATGCTGTGTCTGACCCCTTGTTAGCCAGTCAGCCTCAAAAGAAAGGAGTGGCTAGACTACTCCCTCCTCTTCAATCATTTACTAGCCAGGTACCAGCATGCTGCATACAGCACAATGCAGACCAGCTTCTGAAACCAGAACATCCTTTCATTGCAAGAAGTTCTGTGGATCATATGGTAGAAGTGGTGCCTGGAAATTCCAAAGCCAATAAGGCTAAGAGAACAGAGTTCACATACTACTTCTTCTGACAGAGGGCGTACTTACTGAAGTCTGCAGGCTAACTATGGACAGTCTGCCCCAGTGAGATCTGCAGTTCTGCTAATGGAATTTCATGCATGTTTGTGGGACCATTGCACACAGAACAACAGAATGTTTTGTTTACCCCCTCGCCAGGGGTAAAGTGCATCCAGCAACAAGAGAGTTAGTTTTAAGAGTCTGGGTAAGACTAGCAGTGTTCTCGTCTGCCTGCATTTCCAAAGAAAGGGAGCACAGTATGCGAGCACTCTGTTGTCGAGAGGTCTGGGAAGTTGATGTTTGTCAGTTCTGGGGAAGGCCTTGTAATGCCAACAATTTTGCCAATGTCACAGTCAGTTTCTATCCTTTAATAACAGCAATAGGTCTCAGTTTGATAGCCTTCTTGCTGATGCCAGCAGCATGGCACGTATTCACCACATCCGTCACATTCTTATAGGATTCTGGTGCCTGAAAAAAAAGGAAAGGCACACAGTTAAATATACAACTTTTGCTTTACTATCCTCCTAGTCTCTGTAGAAGTAGAGAAATTCCCATTGGAAGATCTTTGCAGTCTAGAAAAAAGGTTTACTTTTGACACCAGGTGGGAAAGCCCCATGGAGTTTCTTCTTAACATACATATTTTGACAAAGAACTTGACTGGGCTTGTTTTGAATGCAGGTTCATTACAAACATTCAAATTGCACCTTGGTTAAAGCATCCTTCTCAAAAAATCCCCAACACAATTGGCAGGTGTTCAAGAAGCAGGTTTTCCATACATGAGAAACCCTAAAATGAGTTCCTTCTCATACCTCACGTTATATAACAAGAGTTCAAGGTATCCTAAAAGGCAAAACTTCTATATATTGCCAATTCTCTTCAGGGTAAAAAGCAGGACAAAATGAAATTAGAGCTAAATCAACATCAAAAAAAAGAACAGAGGAAGTGCAAAGTCATTCAAAAGCATGTGTGGTGCTGGTGTCAAGTTTCTGCAAAATAAGTAGTTATTCCTAACCTCAGAGGAGGGCTTTCAGGAGCCACGGCCTTTCCAAAGGCAGGTAAAAATATTCAGTGTTATGCCTGGATGTTTTGACAGTTCATCAGAAAATGAAGCAGCTGTACCTACCTTTGTGCCAGTGGACAGCTTACCACTGGATAGTACCATATATACCAAGAGTCAAACATAAGACTTACTTCCTCCATGACCAGTTTGGGAGAAGCAACACGAATGGCAATGCCCATGTCAGCCAGTTTGTCTAACACATCCTGGAAGTCCAAGTTACGTCGGGATTTGGCTCGGGATAGTGCACGACCCTAAACAATAGTTTGAGATAACTTTAGCACATTACAAACTTTAGCCATTACAAAGAATGACGATTACATTATTAGGAGATGCACACTGAACATGAACTCAAAACTCCTTGCTATTTCATTTAAGGGAGCACTTGGAGAAGCAATGATGCACAAAACACATGCAAACTAGTAGAAAGCTCAATGGATCCCATCTTGCTCAAACTTTGTTTTTAGTGCTATGCACTTCATGTAATTAACAAATCAACTGAGTAATATTTAGCAGGGTGTGTTTCAGAAATGAACACCAGATAACAAGAAGTGTCTTCAATGCATGAAACTAGGTATCCTGGAGTGAGCCAGGACACAGGAAAGAGTACAACTTGTAGATGCTAGGGCTTCTAAAAAGTCACACATCTTGAAGCATTACTGCTATGGGGTATCTATTACATGCACAATCCACTGTGTGTGCGTCCTCAAGATTCCAGCAAATCAGTATGAACAACTGGAGGTTTTACTAGACACCACCTCCTCCCCAGGTAGTACTGCTGCCACTGCTCCCCCACGCAGCACCAACCAGCTGCCAAGTCACTAATGATATCCTGACTTCATGGACTTGTTCCAACTGCTTGACAGGCTAGATATGGCCCACAGGCAATGTGCTGCTGACCCCTGCACTAGGGGGATGGCCATGCAGCTTTTTGATAAAGGTTTTCATTTTAGTTCTAAATTCTGGGCTACCAGCCCTTGATAGCAGGGTTGTGTCTTCCCCTCTTTGATTTGCCAGGAGCTTTACTTCCTCCAGAGCCATCCAAAAGCTCCCCTTTGTGCTGTAAAATACATAAAGCACACCATGGCCAGGCACATGGGAACTCTGCCCCTTACCTAGTTCACAGCACACCAGACACCACTTGAGCAGGAGGGATTAGTCTGAAACCCCCTCCCCCACAAAAAACCCAATCTTATTCCTTCCCCACCCCTACTTACAGCTCCATGGCAAGTGGTTCCAAAGGTCTCGGTCATGCCTTGATCTGTACCAGTAAGAACATAGCTGCAGGTACCCATAGTCCCACCAATCAGCACAGGCTGTCCAGTCAGCTGGGGATGCATACACAATTGCAAATTAACATAGGAGAGGGAAGAGGATGCGGGGAGTGAGGTGCAGGCATGAAGACCCTGGCTCCGGAGAATGAGTTTGAAGTTCACATACCATAAAAAGAATGCTGGCAAGCTTAAGGTGAATGTGCCAGGACTCTTGGACAGCCTAGAAAGGGCATATGCAAATGTGCTCATTTTCAACAAGGAGGCAAGGCAAACCAACACAATCTGCCCTCCTGAGCAGACAACAGCAGATCCACTGAAGGTCATTCAGGTGATTGTGTGTTGTGGGGAAGATGAGTCAGAGTGGTTCAGAATCCCATACAACCCTAAGGATCACTACTGACACCCATCCAAGTTCTGACTAGTGTTCACTGTGCAAACTCAGCACATTTTTCCTTCATTAGGAACAGAAGCCTGGCTTTTTCAGTCCCCCAAATCCACCCTTACCTCCATCTCCCACAAGTTAACTGTACCTGGTAATCAACAGCAATGAGAGGATGATGAGGGGGGAAAGCTCTAGTGGATCCTTTTCTATGCACCAGCAGGGTTCGCTCTTTTCCATCCACCACATGTTGCTCCACTTTGGCAATGTTGTGTGACACATCATAAATCACATGCATGTCAAGGTCATCAGGAGTCGTGTTGAAGACTTTGGCAAAGGCCTAAGAGAGAAAGTTTAGACTTAACTATGGGAATGATTCCTTAATGCTGCTAAAAAAAGTCTCAAGGCTTTGCAGGACTTAAAAAGCAGAAACACTGTTGAAAAAATGCTTATTTACAGGGAAACAGTATGGCATAACAGAGCAACAATGCAAATAAAATGACATGACAAGTAAGGCACCACAATCAGTTCACACTCCATTATTCTAGAGCCAAATTCCATCTTAGTGCAAATGGGTGCAGCAGCTTTAGGAGTTGGGTCGTATTTAAAAACTGGACTGTACCAGCCCTCTGTTCCCAGGCAGTTGTGATCTTTCTTAAAGTCTTAGAAATAGGTATCAAGCAAGCAGGACGCTTTAGAAACCCAGAAGGATTAGCAGAGAGAGAGATGCATAAAAGGTTAAGTTTCATAGATGCTGGGGTCAGAAGGGACCTCAACAGATCGAGTCTGACCCCCCTGCCTAGGCAGGAAAGAACGCTGGGGTCAGATGTGTTACTCTATTTGAAAGAATGCCCCCTCAAAACTGGCAGAAATGCTCACGTTCCATTTATAGAAGTTTTAAAGACACTTTTGAAAAGACTTAACCTTGAGAGACATTTGGGGTTTAATAGTAGAGGTGCTGGAAGACTAAAGACCATGATAAAGCCACCAACCAAATATAGCAGAAGCAGCAGAAAAAGTCCATGTTTCAATTAATGTTCAGTTGCTGCAGCTTAATTATATATTTCACTTTGCTCCAAAGATCAGAGAAAAAGCACCAAAGTGCTTGCTTCCCAGCACCCCAATCCTACCTGTCTAGTTAGGAAAGTCATGGAAGAGCGGTTAACCCATGCGTAGTTCCCAGCTGCAGCCATTCCTTTTAAATAGTCCTGTCCCTCTGGAGAAGCAATCCTGGCACATGCCAGCTGGCGATCATTCACTATGATCTTGTCTCGTTTCATAGCTTTCTCCATGGCCACCAATGCATCTGGGGAAAACATGTGAAACAAAAGTAGCATGCATCTTTTTGCGCTGAAGGGTATTAAGTCTGAATTTATAGACAAGATATGCAGCTCTCTTCAAAGATTAGATTAGGGCTTTTGATTCAAAGCTCACTGAAGTTGGTGGAAAGACTTCCATTGAACTTCAGAAGGCTTTGGATTGCAAAGCATCTACCTCTCCTCCCCTCACCCCCAAAGGTGATCATTGAACTTTCTGGCTATAGAGAGGAGGTTAAAGTGAATCTGCGGTATAACAATTTATGTTGTACAGAACTTTTCAACACTATCTTTAGAGAGAAAAGAAAAGGAAGTGTGTGTATGTGTGTACGCACGCGCACGCGAGATATTGACTTCTTGCACTAATGAGTTACAGTGCCTTTTCTTCTCTTCCTATTATTTCTGCCTCAGAAATAATCTGCATGTGCACCCCGCAAGCTTGGCAGTGCACCCCCACAAAAAAAGCAGCATTAACACTGCTGGCAGTCCGCGATCACTGCTGGCTGCCGCTGACACTGCTGGCAGCATCTGTAGGTGGTTGCCAACCATTGGTTGGCACTCACAACTCCCCCCCACACTCCGGCACTGTAGCCAAACGCTATGGCTGCCTGCAGGAGCTCCCCACTTGCTGCTGCCACTGCCTGTGGGAGCTCACTGTGGCCCCCCAGCCACATGGCGTTCAGGGCCAAGACCATTGTCAAATCAAGTTTTATTAGAATAGTATTTGTTGTGAGCAAGCTGCAAAGCATTACAAAAGTTTTGTAATACCTGGAAGAAGATAGAAAGTAGCACGTTATCACAAAATATACCTGTAGCAACTTGGTGGCCCAGGCCTCTGCTGCCACTGTGAATCATTACACACACTTGTCCCTTGTGGTCAATGCCCATCTTCCTGGCAGCATACTCATTATAGATGTCATCCACAACCTGGATCTCTGCATAATGGTTCCCTGCTCCCAGAGTCCCCAGCTGTCAATTAGAAGAGAACTTTACTTAATATTGATTTGACATGGGAAAGGAGATGATCCTAAAGCTGACTTGGTGGACTAAGGCACCTCACTTAACCTTTAGGTCTGTTTCCTCAGCTATGAACTGCCAATTTCTTATTTTACAAGGGAAGTGTGAGGGTTAATTAGGATCCATTAAGTTGTTTTTAAAACTAAAGTGCTATGAAACTACAATATATTTTTATTAGTAAGTATTAAAAGTAACTGAAAGACGAGGACCTTGAGTTGCATTCATAGCACATTATCTTAATTTAGCTGCATACAAGCCTGAAGACTGACAAATCACTTGTGAAAATGGGACTAAGTTACATTATTTAGTCTGGGGGGGTCAGGAGTGGATGGAGGGAGAAGCAGGTAACATACCATTGCTAACTCATACAACGGGGGAAGAGGGGGGGAAGAGATTTGCAACCTTATGAGAACAGCC